GATTCAAATACAAGATGAGCAAAACTGTGGCCTGATCACTTGATGGAATATAATAGAGGTCATTTGACTTTAACCCTTTGGACATTCTCCGTTGAGAGAATCTGTGACAAATCAGTGACAAATAGTTGAAATGATCACATTTACATAATTGTAATTAGATGGTTACTAGTTTCAATTTTTAAAATCAAACCATAAGACCTAATTTTAGTTATAGAATAGAACATGCATGTCATAAAAGACATTGTAAAGGTAACGCTCCAGCTGGCAGAAGTCAAGTTGAGAGCAGGAGGAGGGAAGGGTGAGTGCAGGGGTGCAACTTTCTTCATTTTACTTTGGGATGATACAAGAGATACTGTGTAAAGAAGACGGAACGAAAATACAGGATTAGGTATACATCACTTAAAAGTATAAAGGCAGCTAATAGAAAAACCACACACACTAATACAACTAGCAAAACTCAGTGGAGAGAGAGAGGCAAGTGGAATGTGAGCTGAATTCCCTGTCTATCAAAGAAGATGGAAATGACTTGATTTCTACTGGTAAATTAAGAAACTGAAATCTAAGCATATCATTTAGAATTATGGTGGTAACTTATCAAAAGAAATAAAAACAAAAGGTTTAAAGGGGTTTCCAATAAAGTGTGGGACTTGGATAGGGGAGGTGATACAGAGTTTTTATTTAATAACAGTACAGTATATGCTGTTTGAATTTTGAAACTGTGCACACATTTAAAAATGTTTTTGAAAATACATTTATAAAAACTTGATGTTAATAGGTATAAAGAAAGCCTCAATTAAAGAGTAATTCTTCCCTAAAAAAAAAAAAGAAAATAAGAACAGTTTCAAATCAAGAATCTAAGCTCCACCTGCTATATAAAATAAATAAAGAAAGAAAAGAACAAAAGAAAAGGAAAAAAAAAAAGAATCTAAGCTCCTAGGACTTCTCTGGCAGTCCAGTGGTTAAGACTTCATGCTTCCACCACAGGGGGCACGGGTTCGATCCCTGGTTCAGGAACTAAGATACAACATGCTGCACAACTTGGCCAAAAAAAAAAAAAAAACCAGAACCTAAGCTCCTATCTCAAGAAACCTAGTAAACGAAAACCAAAATAAATCAAGCGTAAGGAAGAAAATAATAAAGATAGGGCAGATACTAATGAAAATTAAAACAAAACCAAAGCATTCAGTGAAACAAATAGCTGGTTCTTTAAAAACATCAATAAATTAACAAACTTCCAGCTGAAAAGAAAAAAAGAGGGAAGATGCTAATAACCATATTGTTAGCATGTGCCCCTGATGTAACACAAGAAGCGTACTTCACACACCTGAGGTATTTTTCCCCAAAACTCATAACTCCAGTCTAACCATGAGAAAAATAGCAGACAAACTCAAGTCAAAGGAAAATACAATAAAATATCTCACCGGTACTACCCAAAACTGTCAAGGTCATGAGAAAAAGCTGATGAAGATGAAGAAAACTTAGAAACTGTCCCACATCAGAGAAGACTTAGGAGACATGACAACTAAATGTAATATGGTTTTGTGGATGAAGTCCTGGAACATTAGTGGAAAAGGACATTTGTGGGAAAAAATCAGTTAAGTCTTAATAAAGTCTGGGGTTTAATTAATCATATCACACCAATAACTGTTTCTTAGTTGTGACAAATGTATTCTGGTAATATAAGATGTTAACGATAGGGGTATATGGAAACTGCAGTATATCTCCAACTTTTCTGTAAACCTAAAACTATTCTAAAATTAAAGATTTGTTTGAAAAATTAAGTCACTGAATTAATTATTGTTTTCAGAGTACAAAGAGAAAGAGAAAGATAGGCTCATTAACAGAGGCTGATGGTTTAATGTTAATAAAGATCAGGAGAATAAAGAACTCCTAATTCCTACTTTGTCTCTGGTCTTCTATTTCAAGAATTTAGCTTGCAAAAGTAAAAAGGACCAAAAATTTTCTACAATGAATAAGTATTACTTTTTAAGTTTAAAAAAAATAATGAAAAAGGAGGGTTTAAGAAAAAAGTACATTGGTAAGTACATTGGAGCAGAAGACCAAGATAAATTTTAGAATTCCAAGAATGTATCCAACTGCTCTAAATGAATGTATACTTCCCTGGAAAAGATAATGCCCAGGTTATTGAGAAATTTTGCCAATGAGAACAATGAACTACAGAGGATGTTCTCTCTGAGAAATCATGGGGATTGCCACAGCCAAAAGACTAAAAACAGGCAAAGATTCCAGTTTTCAAAAAGGAAAATAACATACTTCTGTAAGTCAGAATAAAGAGCCTGATGTCTATCTAGTACAACGTTTTAGTCATCAAGAGACATTAGGATACACACATTCAACCTACTATACATTAAAACAATCATCTCCTACAAATCTGACTTCCTTTTTTGACTGTAAAAGATTTGGCAGACAGGGTGTATTTTACTTCAGTGAAGTACACCACAAGCTGCCTCATGCAAATCCTTGGGATAAGCTGGAGAAATATTCTAGACAATAAAAATGGAGAAACAGGGCTTCCCTGGTGGCGCAGTGGTTGAGAGTCCACCTGCCGATGCAGGGGACACGGGTTCGTGCCCCGGTCCGGGAAGATCCCACATGCCACGGAGTGGCTGGGCCTGTGAGCCATGGCCGCTGAGCCTGCGCGTCCGGAGCCTGTGCTCTGCAACGGGAGAGGCCACAACAGTGAGAGGCCCGCGTACCGCAAAAAAAAAAAAAAAAAAAAAATGGAGAAAGATTTCAAATGTATACTGCTAGGTTCTTTCTTCAGTCCAGTACTATTTAACATTTCTGTAATTGACTTAGATGAAGATGTAGAACAACACTCATCAAATAGGCCAGTGATATAAGTCATAAAGCAGTAACACATAAAGCAGTAACAGAATCTGGATTCAAAAGGATACTGAAAGGATGTACTGTTGAGCTGAGCCTAGCAAGGTGAAATGTAATACGGAAATAAGACTATATTTGGGTCCCAAATTCAAATGCACAAATACAGAATGGCTTACTAGCAAAAAAAAAAAAAGACTCCGTGATATTTAATTGAACGTCAGCTCAACATGAATCACATACAAAGAATGTGGCGTGCCTGCCCAAACATAATAGTATCTACTGAGAGACGGCACAGTACTGCTATATTCTAGTGATCCTACGATGCCCGGTGTATAAACAAACGGAAAACTGCTCAGAAGAGTAACCAGGGTCAAATATAAAAGTTAGATAAATTTATAGGCAGAGGAGCAGCAGGTTTGGCCTGAGGAAAAAAATTGAGGGGTTCCAACATAGGTGTCTGAGGTGCTCTCACATGTAAGAAATCTTAGACTTATTCTAAATGGAACTAAAGCTAACAAGTAGAATTTAAGGATTACAAGTTTAATTTCAATATAATAGTGATGGTAATTCAAAGACAGAATGAGCTGCGTTTAGAGTTGAGCTTCCCTCCTTGGGGGCCAGATGACAAATTGGCAGGAATGTGGTAGAGACAAAGTATCAGATGGCTGGTTAGACTAGGGGACCTTTAAATCTTCCAACTCTATAATTTTAAAGATGCTACTTTTCTAGACTTTCTCTATGCCGAACTTGTGGCTTCAGTCCAATTACCACTGTTTCTGGAACAAGCCTTATTTATACACGTACTTTCCTGTATCCACTCAGGCTATTCTATCACTCAGCAAAGACCAAGGATTTGTCTTTCTGCATCTATCAAAAATGAACTCAAATACTGTCCTTAATAAAAACCTCTATGCCTACCCTACTCTGATCTCTCTTGCCCCTGAATTATGAAATAGTGTTTGGCAGTTAATTACATACCAACTTCAGACACCTCTGCTTCTGTCTTAAACCGTTATTTAAACTTTTATAATAATTTCTCTCCTCTGCTAAATTTAAATCCCCTTAAAGGCAGACACTGTATTCCCTACACGTCTAGGGGTACACGGCAGACATTCAAAACCAGTCTTTGAGGGACTTCCCTGGTGGTGCAGTGGTTAAGAATCCGCCTGCCAATGCAGGGGACACGGGTTTGAGCCCTAGTCCGGGAAGATCCGACATGCCGCGGAGCAACTAAGCCCATGCGCTACAACTACTGAGCCTGTGCTCTAGAGCCCACGAGCCACAACTACTGAAGCCTGTGCGCCTAGAGCCCATGCTCCGCGACAAGAGAAGCCACCGCAATGAGAAGCCTGTGCACCGCAACGAAGGGTAGATCCCGCTCGCTGAAACTAGAGAGAGTCCATGCGCAGCAATGAAGACCCAATGCAGCCATAAGTAAATAAATAAATTAATTAAAATTAAACAAAACAAAAACAGTCTTTGATTTTCAATATTGGAAACATTTTTATTAGAACAGTTATTTTATTAAAAAGGCACGTTTTTATAGGTAAATGGAAAATTCACCATTCAAATCTGAGTACTGACTAATATGCATGACTTGCAGTTCAAATAGAGAACTACCAGAATGAGACATTGTCACCCACTGATAACATATTCTAACCAGAGGACTTTTAAAATAGTGAATCAAGCTCAGAAAAGTTCAAATTTTCCAACCTAAACATAGAGGTTGGTAAAGCTGCCTTTCTTGAGCAAAAAAAGATTAACAGAACCAAACTAAAGGTGAAAAATGTCAAGAAAAAAATCACATTTTAGAAAAAAAATCGTATTTATTTCTTTAAATGTAAAACGTATTGATGTGTGATGTGATATACAGACTGTAATTTTTTTTTTCTTTTTGGCCACACTGTGTGGCTTGTGGGATCTTAGTTCCTCAACAAGGGACTGAACCTGGGCCACAGCAGTGAAAGCGCCAACAGACTGTAATTTTGATTCATGTAAATTGGAACACAAGTTAAGAAAAAACAAACTAGTCACACAGAGCCCAGAACAGATGCTCACTCCCTGAACACCAACTAACAAATAACGTCCTAGACAAATTAAAAGAGAATTCCTTATTAGCTTAGATATATTAATAAAGATTAAGAAATACTTACTGAAGATTCTGGATCTGACAGTTCATCCAATAATTTTCTTGCATCTACCACAGCTTGGTAAAGTCTCAGATTTTTGCCATCAGAAGCAACAAAGCAAGCACTCGCAGAATTGCAATATGTGCCTGAGAAAGTAAACACTTTGCATTATAATATATAGTTTATTTTTATTACTGGCTGAAGTATGAGAAAAAATATTCACACTTCTCTTTTTAGACATAACCATGGTCCAGAAACACAGATACAATTAATAGATATAAAATTATTAACCAAAAAAATTCAACAGATAGGTTATGAGAGGGAAAAGATGAAAAACAAAAGTCTAGAAACGCTAAACTTAAGTCTGATGCCTACATTCTGAATACTTATTAAAAATCTTCCTAATGACAAATATAAATCATTTTGTATATAAATAACTGTTTTAAAGCTTTTATTAATTTCACTATTAAAATGAACACTTACCAAGACAGTAACTAGGAATAAGAGTTGGAAGCCAAGCAACATTAGAGAAGGCTGAAGTATGTAAAGAGTTAATTCGTGCCAACTCCGATACTCCTCCAGTGTATGACAAAGGTCCTATTGGGTCCACGCGCCACAGAATAAGTTCACTGTAGATGGCATTCGGGTCGTGAAATGTACGTGTTGCTGCATTTCTGAGAGGTTGTTTCGAGGAACCTTTTATGTGTCTTACAGGATCCATTAATCTACCTAATTTATTGTCTGAGTCCCACTGAAAATCTGATTCAGGAGTCAGCAGAGCATTATGATGAGATGATGTCAATAATAATGGTAAAACTGAATGACATGCCAGGTCATTGAGGTGAAATCTATGACCACAATATCTAAATTTGTGAGATACAGTTAGAACAGTGGTAAAGGCAGACTTATCAGCAAAAGTGACTGCCCATTGATTTAAAGAGCCATCTATGTGTTTAGAGACCATCATTACTGTGGGAGCTAAAATGTTCATATTTGTACTGTGTGGTCCAGAATGCAGCTGTGATCCATGAGGACTGCATTCAGCCATCATGTCTTCGTGTAACAGAGTGTGGTGAGAATCTTTTGCAGCATTTATACAGGCATACATCATGATATTTTTACTAAGAGAGCTTGCATCACCAGATGGAAATGCAACAGGAATCCGAGAAGAAAAAGAAACCTGAAAAACACAATTACATGATTCAGTGCAAGCAGTCTGCCTCCTCTCAAAGTGTTCCAAAAATACTTCCATTTTCAAACTGTCAAACCTCAGCTTCCTAGCAAAATATATCATTTTCGACCTTATTATGGTCTAATCCTTTTCCTCTATTTATATAGTATCATATATTCATCGCGTATGAGAAAACTGAAGAAATAATTTCAAGTATTTGAAACCTGAAACTTGCCTGTACATCTAGATGACTACAACCATAAATCTAAACAAATACTGTTCAGAAAGATAACCGATAAAGATAGTAGATTTAATTAATAAAACTGAAGAAGTGGAGGTGATACATCCTGAGTCACATTTTTAGGGTAGTTTCTTAAGTTTATTCAAAATATTGTGAATTCCCAGAAAAAATGAATACACATACATTCAAGTACTCACTATCACATTTCAAAGCCAAATTCATTTTACTTAAATTAATCAAGTTTATAAAATCTGTGGTCATTGACCCCCTTTGGTAGCAAGTTATTCTCTTCTCAGTTGCTTATCAAAAATAAAATCATCGAGTATTTCTGAAAACCTGCTAAATCTGAATAGCAACTGTTTTACTTTTTTAAGAAGTGTGAAAATTGCTTCATCAGTAAAATATACCTGGACTTGTCTAAATATTCCAGGATTATATTCATCCAAATACTTTACATGCCACACTAGGAAGGTACCATCTACCGGGTGTATAGTAAAAAGCATGTCAGGATTCTTATTCCATTCAGTTAGCAGCATTTCGATCTTCCGATCAAGCAGGACTGTAGGCAGTGGCATTGGTACACTAGGTCGTGAACAGGTTCTAGGACTTCCCTCTCTTTCTCCATCTTCATGTTCTGATGATCCTGTACCTGCTTCAGATTCTCTATCCAGGGATAATTCTAAATCAGAAAATAAATTTATCAGTACATACTAACAGAAATACTATAAAAAATTCATTTACATACTAGACTATCAAATTCATTTACATACTAGACTATACTACAGAAAATCATTTACATACTAGACTATCAATAAATAGCATACTAACTTTAGAAATCATGAATCCCTTTTACAACTTATGGCCAGGAAAAAAAACCAAGGAAGGAAACTCTTTTCTGATCTGAACTGAAAATTACTACATTTCTTAGTTTTAGATAAATCAAAATTTCATTCACACTATCACATTATCTTTATTATTACCATTATTAGCAAAACCTGTTACCCCCACCAAAAGCATGGCTTCCAAAGTAATACATTACTCAAAGCAATATGTTATAACAAAGCAAAGTTAGATGGTAGATGGTCCATAGTAGATGGTCAGTAAAGACCTGTGGAATGAATGGAAAAGTGAAAAGGAAGGAGGGGAGGAAGGAAAGATTACAAACCAAAGGTGGTTTCACAAAAAGCTGTCAGCCTGTAAAAAAGAAAAATCTGAACACAGGATACTAACCATGGTCTAGTTTCATATGTAAACCCCTCTCTCTTTCCTCCTGTGAACATTCATCTTCTCTATCTCCTTTGTCGTTTTCATGATCCACCTGCTTTTCAGAAAGTTTTCGTAATTGCTGCATAAATATTTCAGTAGATGATGTAAAATGAAATTCTTTGTTGTTTAACCAATGAACTACAAAGCCCCCATTTCCATCATCAATGTTAAATACAGTGCCAACCAAGACATTTGGAATATCTGTGGAATCAAAAAAGATAAAATTTCAATGTGAATTTCTAATGTCTTTTAAAATATTATATGTGCCTATAAAGACTAATTCCATTACACAGAAAATGTGATAAACAAAAAGTAAACGTAACTCTAGCACGGTTTGAAATTTTTAATTGAATTTAATGGTAAATGAACTAATGGCATAGACATACGGAATTAAATTACTAATTTAAAAACGAAACACACCAAATGCACAAACTTTTATTGAATCCTGGTTTGGGGATGAGGGAACAGAAAGACAAAACAGAAAAGCAAATCTAAAAGACATTTTTGAGATGACTGAAATTTAAATATGAACTGAATATCAGAGATTATGGAATTATTTCTAATTTTCTTAGGTATGATAATGATACTGTGATTATGTAAGAAAATTTCCTTATTCTTAGGAGATACTTGCTGAAGTATGTAAGGGTGATATGCCATGATATGTGTAACTTACTTTGAAAACATTAAGAAAAAATTTCTCTCACACACACACACACACATATAAACATACATATGTGTGTATATACAGAGAGAATAAAGCAACTGGCAAAATGTTAGCAATTGTTGAATCAAAGTGGGTGAAATGAGTGTTCACTGTACTATTCTTCCAACTTTTCTGACTGTTTTAAACTTTCCTCAAAAGTCGGGGAAAAATAATGCCAAGAAAGAACACAGGAAGGCAAGCAAATTTCTAAGTATAGCAGATTTTCTCCATGTGGGGTAACTGAAATTCATGCTATAGATCAGTTCACGTAAAACAGTATAATTCAAAAAAAAAAAATCTCCTTAATCCCAAATCAAATTATAAATAATCCATTCAATAGAAAGAAAAAGAGACTGGGGGGGAAGCATCCAGATAACACTCTTTTGGAACTGTATTTGCTAAATACTTATCTTTATATAAATAAACATTTAAAAATAAAATCCTCTGCACCCTGAAGCAATAGACTTCCATTTCAATAAAATGTAACTATAACTTTATACAACTATAGTTCTTCCAGCAATGTAATATGAAACTAATAGGCCTTGTCATATGTTTTTCATGCAGAAAGAAAACAATGACCTTAAATAGAAGCTTTAAATATGCTCTTGCCAACAATGAACCTGCCTCAAAATACTTCTCAATGACATAGGAGGAAAAGAGCAAAAAGAAAACATCAAGGTTAGAAGAAACACTACCTTTCCCGAAGTGTAGGACAAGAAAGTCTATGAGGGTACAAAACAAGATATGCTGAAATATAAGGAAAACTATGCAAAAATATACTTTGATAAAGTTATAAAGAAGAGTTGAGAAGAAAGAATAATAGTGAAAATACAAAAGGGTGGGAAATCACACTAATTAACCAGGCTGCCACCACTTGTGTTCATCTCCAGGTTCAACTAAAGCTCTAATTACTTAGAAACTTTGCCATATTGTAGACAAACAATGGTGCTCAAAAATACTTATTTGAAGTTATTCCCTGAGGATCACACAGTCTCAATTTAAGAAATGGCACCTTATATTTCTGTTCCAATTAAGAAGTATTTTAAAAGGAAACATGGAGTATTAGCATAAAATTAGAAACAGGTTATAAAAGTAGTCCCACTTTTCTATTTATTTATCTTATTTCAGCAGATAAGAAATAAAACTTTACTATCCTTTACCTGTGGCGGGATTGATGCTCGCTGCAATGTGAAAATGACACAGTACATTTGCGTGATGGGAAATGTGTCTTTGAACCTCATGCGTTGCCATCTGGTCATGCATTAATTCAGTGTGCGTTACAAGAATGGAAGACTTCCTTTGTCCTTTCCTTAAATTTTTCAAATGGTGTATTGTCTAAAATAGAAAAATAATTACTAAATCCAAGTCTAGGAAGTCTAATAAGTGCTGATCAAAGTACTTTTGATTATTAAGGGTTTTACAATTTTCCTCTCTGTAAAACCTGACCATCTTAAAGGAAACTTTAACTACAATAGAACAACTTAATATATTCTCCACTGGTCTTGCAAATTTTATAGTTCAAGGCAGTAGTTGCTCAAAAACACTTATTATCTGCAGAAACCCCTATAAAGATTAGGAGTCCAAAGTCTAGTTTTTTCAGGATATTCCAGTACTGAGACGAAATTTACTAGTCATAAGGGTGTAAAAAAAAAAAAAATTCCAAATCTTCCTACCAGGAAGAATATTCCTCCCCAAAATTCTCACTTAGAACTAAATAGCCAGCTAAATAATCTAATATATAACCTCTATTATAAAGACAAAAAGAGGGTACAAAAATACAGAATAACAAGGGGAACCTTAACTTAGATAAGAGTAGCCAGGAAAGACCCCATGAAAGTATTGACCTGTGGAATTTGTTCAAACTGAGATATGTGCCTATGATAAAAATTCTGTACTGGCATACTCCATCATCCGAACTATTCTGACACGGGACCATGTCAATTCTCAGCACAATCTTTTCTCCACACCATAACCCCACCACACAGCAATTCCTTATTCTGTCACTTAACAATACCGTGCTTAATAATAATATACCATTCTTTTCCTTTGTTCCTTGCAATCAATGAAATAAAATGTGGCATCCTCTCAGTTCTTTCTGCAGTAAAATAAAACATCTGGTCCTTCCTTTCAATTCCACAGCCCTTGTCCTTTTTCATGTGAAAAACAGTATCAGTTCTATGGCGTGTCCTCTGTCTCTGGTCTCCCCGGTTATTTCTTTGATTATACCTATCAAATTAGTTTCACTCAATCTTTGACATTTATCATTATTTTAAATTAGATTGCCAAGGCTGTGCTATATTGGTCAGTTATCTTCTCCTAGGAACAAAATGTATAATTTAAGTATATATAGAATTATATAGACCTTGCAGTTAGGGGTTTTATAGGAAAGGACATTAGAAAGCAAAATAGCTCATAAGTCAGATAATCAGGTTTTTTCTATTAAAAACAATTTTAACATTACTAATTGACAACATTTTATTAAAAGGCAGCAAAAATGTGTCAAATCACTGATTACATTTTATTTTTTCTTTTATTTTATGTAGCAGTTAATAATTCGATTTAACAAACACTTGAAAAGAAATATATTAGATAACATGGAGGATATAAAGATATCTAAAAGCCCTTAGTCTCCAAAAGCTCATATGTAATTTAAAGATAAAATGTTATACAAATATATATAAATTATTGTAAACATCTAGTAAATAAAGTACTTTTTCCCACTAATTTTCAATCAATAGCAAAACATAACTCTAACTGTTCTGACTTGTGCTTTAATTTCATTTATGCTTTAAATGTTGGAAAAAACTGTATAAATAGTGCCCAATCACAGAGAGCATCAGAGCAGGACTACTTTACATAAAACTTTAAAGGACCACATCCTTAGCCTATTAAACCCCCAAAATATTTTTGCTCGCCAAAACTGCAAAACCATTTTGGCTATGCAACCATTAAAGTGTTAATGTAAACGTGCAATGTAAAAGTATAATTAGTTATGTACAGAGATGTTTATAACACATTAAGTATAAAAAGCAAGTTATAAAACATTATTGCATAATATGATCTCAATCTTGTAAATAAAAAAAAATGTACAAACACATATTGGAATAGTTGGATTATAAACTCTACATTTTTTTCTTTTTCCTAATCTAATTTTAGAATAAGCATATACTCTTTGTGTAATAAAGTCACATGAAAAATTAAGAAAATTAGCAATCTAGGTTTACTATAATAAATTTCTGGTAATTTTTAATAATGTGTTTATCTCATTTTATTCGCTAATCATAATGGGCACAACAGTTCATACTATATTATAAATAATCTAATTTCTTAGAAAGCATTTTTGTTTTATATATAGTATTTAAAAACTAGAAAAATTATTTCACTTTCAAAATATTAAACCGTGAAAACTGTGCAATTATATAAGTTCACTTAATATCTTAACAACACCTTTATTCTTATTCATAATAGTCATTTTTAATTAGAAAAATAAATGTAAAATTTAATCCTCGTGAAACAAAAGCAAAATATTTTTATTTTTAATCTGTTTATTTTTTTAAAGATTGCTGTGGTTTACTTTATTTATTTATTTATTTATTTTGCTGCGCCGCGCAGCTTGCGGGATCTTACTTCCCTGACCAGGGATCGAACCCAGGCCCCAGCAGTGAAAGCACCGAGTCCTAACCACTGGACTGCCAGGGAATTCCCCACAAAACATTTTTAATTACAACCAATTTCAAAGACTTTTACATGTTTTATTAATCAAAGTTGCCTACTCCTATAGATTTTCACACTCAACATGCAAACTGGAAGAATTAAATTTATACTATTTATCTAGACTACATATCTGAGATCATTACTGTCTATATCTGTCTTCTAAGTGACATAAAATAAGTGAGAATTCTTTGCCATTAATTTCGTCATTATGTATACCATGCACCATCTGCAACTTAGCTTATGAATTCCCACCATACTCACATTATCTTCAAGATTCATTTACCATTTTAAATAATACAGTACCTCAAGAGCATGTTGTACTCCATCTTTGTGACTTCCAGCATGAGTAAGGCTGCTGGCAGTGCTGGAAGTGGTAGTCTCGCAAATCTGCTCACCCAAAAGACAGTCTTCTGGTAATACGGTTTCTGCCCACAGCCGGCAGACACCATCATGGCATGAAGTTAATAACACATTACAGACAGAACCTCTAATGATAAAGAGAAATGAACAAAAGTTACTGTGAGTATCAATAACATGAAAAATTAAAGGCTATTAATATTTAGTTCTTCATCCTTAAAGATGACATTAACGCAAAACAGTATGATCTATGTGTAGTTATTTTTCCAATAATGATAATGGATTTCTACTGACTATTTCACACTCTTACCAAACCCCATTTATTACCTGCTCAGACCTGCAAGGTGGTAGGCTGGACATAGGGTGCAATCAGTTACCATAAAATAAGAAAAACCTAACTGTCCCTGACACTCACCTTAATTCATTAAACTTATGTCTTGAACAGCTAAACTAAATGACAGTATAGTATGCTTCCAATTGCTTTAGAAATTACATTGTGTGGAGAAAGAGTATCAATGGAAGAGCTTGAAATCACGCACAGTACGGCTGTGAACATCATAAAAACTAGGAAATGGTCCTGACGAAGGAAACAGAAATTAATGCCAGATTATACATGTGCTGCTTGAAAACAAGGCTCTGGAGGATTAGTATCTCCTAAACAAAACAAAGTAAAGATCAAAAGAAAACCTACATTTCTGTCATTACAACTTGCAGAATGACCATAATAAAAGATCATTAATTATAATTAAACTATGTGGTTTATGGCAGTAGTTCCAGCATTTTGTTTTATCCTTCTTATAATCTAAACAGTTATAAATAGGTAAACAAACTTATTAATAATAAAACTGTAAGGAGACTATAAATTCAAACTATAAATCAATTTCCATTAAGTTAAGCAAAAATGTCACAGCATCAAGCAGCTGAAGTGGTTTAACCACTCATCGTGAAAAAAAAAATTTTCCCATTAAAAAAATGCTTACATACAATCTGACTCAGTCAAAGGTAAAGTGTTCTGCAAATGTTTTCCATAGATGCAAATAACTTAAACAGATTTAGAGTAACCTTTTATCTAGATTCCAAAAATGTATATATTCCCCATTTTATCATTTACTGAGCACCTCCATAATAGGTGTGCTGTATTTCCCATCAAGTGCAAACAGTGCTCAGATATATTTAGCAGATGAAATAACCCTTCCTCAAGAATGAATACAGATTTCTAAGCAAGCATTTTTAGAACTGTATATATAATACAGGAATCATTGGTATGAGCTGTTTTGTAGTTTGCTTTATCTTCTAAACACTTTTAAGAGATGGCTGTAACAATGAAGAAAAACTTATAATAAATCCTTTGAGAAGTTTCTGTTGATAGCCCTAAGATAAGAAAAACTTGGCCACTTTATTCACTGTATGTATATGATATGCCTTCCCAGAATGCATATTACTGACAGTTTATTACTATGTTTTATTCTCCCTCAGTGTGTGCTTTCCTGTTACTTGCAAACGTCTCCTTCCTGGAATCTACTGCTGCTGCTGATACTGACAATACCAGCTAACGCTGCCCTGGCACACACAATGTGCAAAGGCCTGTATAAGCATTCACACTCACTCACACATTTCAGTCTCATACAACTCTCTGAGGTAGGTACTACTACGACCCCCATTCTACAGAGGCATGGAGAGCTTAAGAAATTTAGTCAAAAGCTCACGAAGCTGGTAACAACAGCAGAATCTGAAGTCAGGCAGTTGATGCCCAGAACCTCTGCTATTCATTGCCACCATGTCAATTAAAAGGACCTTTGTTTTCATTATTTCTATAAACATTAAGTAATACAAAATGAAGTTCTATGACACAGTTGTCTAACCTGGGCATATATTTGCTAGTTTTACGCCATGAAAAACCTGTCACAGCTCGCGGATGTGCCAAATAGACAAAGGAAAACTGGGCAGACGCCTGTCTCCTTTCCACTTCATGATGATCCGGAGGTATAATTGAAGACTTCCAACCAGTCATAGGGTACCACACTTTCAAAAGACAATCATCCTGTGAAAATATATAGGCCAACATAAAATTAATTTGTATCTACACATTTCAAAATTTAAGTGGTTCGAAGAAGCTTTAAAAATTAAGCTATATTGGTGTCAGTTTATTTATCTCTTGTAAAAATAAAATACAGTGTGTGTGTGAAAAAAAATTAAGCTATATATAAAAACTAAAATGTGACCTATACATAATACAAAACTAAACCTAAAATGATGTTTATTATTCTAAATAATACCGTTCTTGAGAAATAAATGGTCAGTGTGCTCATTATTAATCTTCTCTACACAAAGGTACTTTTCAAACAGAGATTGAAGCCAAATTCCCCCACTTCAATACACAAGGGTCACTGTAAAGAAAAGACTCTGGAACCAGATGCTAGCCTGGATAAGAAAGAAGCCATGTTATCTGTCACTGTTATCATCTTCTCCTTTTTGAAGAGATCTGAAAGGATGAGACAAACCCTTTTTAAATATGAATTGCTTCTTACTCTAAATCAGGACTCAGCAAACTCTTCCTGTAAAAGGCCAAGTAAGTTAGGCTTTGTGGACCACACAGCCTGTGACACAGATTCTCCTTGGGTTGTTTTTTTTTTTTTTTCTTAGAACCCTTCAAAAATGTAAAATCCATTCTTGGTTCATGGGCCATAGTGTTCTGATTCCTACTCTAAATGATGAGAGGGCATCTAGGCAGTTTTTGGGAACCACTTCTATGCCCACTTAAGAAATTTAAAGGTATAACAATAGGCACTGACTTTATCATTTTACTTAGTTCGAAGAATTTTGTTAAAGGCCTAAATAATTTTATCTTATTTAACAGGAACTATCTCTTTTATAGTGCTTCATCCTCTATGGTGTACATGAAGGAAAATAAAAAACGTTTATGTAAAAATCTCAATCTCTAAGAAACAATGAAATTATGTATAGGTCCAAATATTTTCACCTGGACTAGACAAAACACTTCTGTTTTTTTCCATCTTAGTATTCATTCTCAATCTATACTACATAATGTATGTTTCCACTAAGGTCTCATTTATTTGGATATTTGAATTACACAACAAATCTCTTTAAGTACTTATTCTGAGACAACCACTTAACAGTGCACTAGTTGCTTTCCTCCAAGTACTTTCTCCACCTTAGCATCACTTTCACCTTCCCAAATTCACAGCACAACCTATGGCAGTAGTTTCAGATTATGTACCACAAAAACCCTTGAGGTACCTGAGAGCCCTTAAGGAGTCATCAAGGAAAGTCAGAGAGCCTCCACAAGCCGAGCAATCAAGCCCCTTTTCCCATTCCCGCCAGCTTCCCCCTCAAATGAAGCAGCCTCACCATTGTCATGTTACTACCTAAAACTCTAAAACCACACAGAATTAAACTAGAAATCTGTACAAGAAAGATAGCTAGAAAATTCCCAAATATTTATAAACTAAACAAAAACACTTCTAAATTACAAGACAATTTTTTTAATGTATTTATTTTATTTTTGGCTGCACTGGGTCTTTGTTGCTGCACGCAGGCTTTTCTCTAGTTGAGGTGAGCGGGGGCAACTCTTCATTGTGGTGTGCAGGCTTCTCATTGTGGTGGCTTCTCTTGTTGTGGAGCATGGGCTCTAGGTGCGTGGGCTTCAGTAGCTGTGGCTCGAAGGCCCTAGAGCGCAGGCTCAGCAGCTGTGACACATGGGCTTAGTTGCTCCGCGGCATGTGGGATCTTCCCAGACCAGGGATTGAACCCGTGTCCCTTGCACTGGCAGGTGGATTCCCAACCACTGCGCCACCAGGGAAGCCCAGCAAATTTTAACATATGTTGAACTGAATGAAAATGAAAGCAAAACATAAAAATTTGGGGGTTGCAGCTACATCAGTGCTTAGAAGGAAATGTATAGCTTTAAATTCTTATATCAGAAAAGAAGACAGGTCTCAAACCAATGGTTTAAGTTTCTACCTGAAGCATCAAATAAGAGCAAAGAGAACTCATATTAAAGAGATATAAAGAAGAATGAAAACCAATGAAATAAAATACAAAAATTATAGAGAAATCAATGAATCCAAAACCTATTTGTGAAAAGATCAATAAAATTGATAATCTATCTAGAAAGACCAAAAATATTTAGAGAGAAAACACAAATTACCATTACCAAGAATGAAAGGTGGGACATGGCTACAGATCCTACAATATGTTAAATCCCTCGAAAGACAATTTCAAAAAAAATTGACAAAGGAAGAAATAGAAAACCTGAATAGCTCTACATCTATTAAAGATGCTGAATTCACAATTTCAAGTCTTCTCACCAGAAAACAAAACCCTAAAACTACAACTAAAATCTGAGGCCCAGGTGGCTTTACTGATGAACTTTACCAAACATTTAAGGAAGAAATAGCACCAATCCTTCACAAAGTGTTTCAGAAAATTGAGGAACAGATCTCATTGTATAAGGGCAGTATTATTACCGAGATAACAAAACCAAAGACATAAAAAAACTATACGGGAATATCTTTCATGAACAAAGACGCAAACACCTTTAAACCTAATCCATCAGCATGTTAAAAAAAAAAAAAAAAAACAGGGGCTTCCCTGGTGGCGCAGTGGTTGAGAGTCTGCCTGCCAATGCAGGGGACGCGGGTTCGAGCCCTGGTCTGGGAGGATCCCACATGCCGTGGAGCGACTAGGCCCGTGAGCCACAATGACTGAGCCTGTGCTCTGCAACAAGAGAGGCCGCGACAATGAGAGGCCCGCGCACCGCGATGAAGAGTGGCCCCCACTAGCCACAACTAGAGAAAGCCCTCGCACAGAAACGAAGACCCAACACACCCAAAATTAAATGAATAAATAAATTTAAAAAAAAAAAATCATGACCAAGTGGAGTTTATCCCAGCAAAGTGAAGTGGGTTTAACACTGGAAAAATCAGTAATTGCATTTCATCATAGTAACAGAATGAAAAAGAAAACCTACATAATTAACTCACTATATGCAGGAACAGCACTTGACAAAAGTAAACACTAATTCATGGGAGAGAACAACACTCTCAGCATATAGGAATAGGAAAAATAAAAGGGAACATATACAACATGATCAAGTTGAGTGACTCTACAATAAACCTACAACTTACATCATATATAATGGTGCAAGACAATGCTCTTCCCATAAAATTGGGAGCAATACAAGAATGTCTGCTCTCATCAGTTCTACTCAACATTGTACTAGAGGTCCTAGTACTTGCAATATATTGGGTAAGGGAAAAAAATAAAAGGTATACAGATTAGAAAGGAAGAAGTAAAATTGTCTTTTTTCACAAAATCCTAAGAAAACTACCCAAAAAGGCTGCTAGAACTGATAAGCAAGGTAATAAGACTAAGGATCAAAATTCAAAAATCAATTCTATTTCTATATTTAACAATAATTAGCAATGTAATTTCCGTAAATACTTTTTACATTAGGAAGATAAACTTAAATTGTGTACCCTGAAAACTATGAAACGCTGCTAAGAGAAAGAAAACCTAAATAAAAAGAGAAACATACCACATTCGTAGATAAGAAGACCAAATGTGGGACTTCCATAGTGGCGCAGCGGTTAAGAATCCGCCTGCCAATGCAGGGAACACGGGTCGATCCCTGGTCCAGGAAGATCCCACATGCTGTGGAGCAACTAAGCCCATGCACCACAACTACTAAGCCTGCGTTCTAGAGCCCACGAGCCACAACTACTGAAGCCCATGCGCCTAGAGCCCCCGCTCTGCAACAAGAGAAGCCACCACAATAAGAAGCCTGCACACCACAACGAAGAGTAGCCTCTACTCGCTGCAACTAGAGAAAGCCCACACACAGCAACGAAGACCCAAAGCAGCCAAAAATTAATTAATTATTTTAAAATTTAAAAAAAAAGACCAAATGTTACTAATGTACAATTCTTCCCAAATTGTTCTATAGAGATACAATGTATATAAATAGCATCAAAATCACAGCAGGCTTTTTTGTAGAAATTGACAAAATCTGTATGGATATCAAAGGACTGACACCACCAAAAATATTTTAAAAGAAAAGTACAAAGTTAGAGGAAACTACTTGTTTTTGGAACTAACTATAAAGCCACAATAATCAAGACACATAATATTAGCGTAAGGGGATACACACACACACACACACACACACACACACACACACACATCACAATGGCACAAAACAGAGAGGCCAGGATCAGATCCACACATGTATGGAAAACTGATTTTCAACAATGTTGTCTATGAAATTCAATGGAGAGTGGATTGCCTTTTTAAAATGCCACTGAAATATCTTGATATACCTTTGGGGAAAAACTGACTTCAAATCAAATGCAAAAAAACCACCTCAAAATGTAAAAGTCAAAACTATAAAACCTCTAAAAGAAAACATAGTAAAAGATCTTTGTGATTTCAAGGTAGACAAAGATTTTTTAAATCTAGGCCACAAAAAGCACAAACCAATTTTTTAATATTGATGTTGGATTTCTTCAAAATTAAAAACTTCTGCACATCAAAAGACATTGTTTAAAAAAAATTAAAAGGCAAGTTACAGACTGGGAGGAAATATATATAATAGATTTATCTTTCAATTCTACTAAATATACAAAGAACTCATAATTCTATAATAATGAGAAAACAAACCCAATTTTTTTAATGGGCAAAGGACAAATAAACACTTTCCCAAAAAAAAGTATACAGACAGGCAATAAGCATGTGCTCAACATCATTAGAAATCAGAGAAATACATATGAAAACCACAATAAGACACCACTACCCAGACTATTAGAATGGCTAATATTAAAAAGGCTGACAATGCCAAATGTTGGCAAGAAGGTGGAGCAACTGATATTGTTCAATTGTTGGTGAGTATGCAAAATGGTACAACTTTGGAAAGCGCCTGGTACTTTTTTGTAACGTACCATGTGACCCAACAATTCCACTCATAGGTATTTTTTACCCATGAGATGTGAAATGTTTATACAAAGACTTGCAAATGAATGGTCA